GGCCTGGCCGCGCTGGACCCCGGGTGCCCCCTTCCCTCCGAGGTGCCACCAAGGTGCCAGGGAAGTGAGCGCCCCGCCTACGCCTCTGCTGGTCCTTGTGTGACCAGGCAGGACGCAGGACCAGGGCAGAAAGGCAACCTCTGGCAGGCCGTGCTTCCGGTTGGGCCCACGGAGGCTTCCTGGCGGCCTCTGCCTACCGGCCCCTCCCAGCGGGGCTCCTGCCCTGCCCCCCTCAGAACTGGGCTGCATATTTAGGGGAAAAACACTTAGGCTTGATTTCGAATAAAATAGAACAGAAGATGCAAATCAAGCAATGTCCCCCTCAAAAAATCCTAAGTTCTTTTGAGTATGAGATTTCAATGCTTTATCTAAAATTAATACGCAGAATATACGGAATAGAGTCCAGATTTTCATTTTTAGAAATTCCCCTCTAAACAATTAGAATTTCAGTGTGATATTTAAAGGTGGCTCAAATTCAGAAATTAGTGTTTACTTAATGAATCACCATACAGCTGAACTCAGGGGAAAAGAAAATAGACAGAGAAAATTTCTCTGCTCTTCTGTTGCCCGCCTCCTACAGGTCTGCAGACTCTTAAAGCCAGGAAGTTCTAAGATGTTTTGTGCTGCTGGGTTCTTAAAATTAGTGTATGGAATCTCCAGAGAGAAACATTAGTAAGCACAATAGATTGTGTTTCAAGTTGAAAAGTTTTTTAAGTAAAAAAAATGAGTTTCTTAACCTATCAGCTATTATAAGAAATGAATTTACATCACCACCCGGGTTACAAATACCTCACACACAACCCAGGCCAAAACTTATGAAACAACATTTATGTTTTCTATATATAACGCATGCTTACTTTTTCTCTTCCATTTCATTTTCTAAATGGAAGTTATCCAATAGCAAATTCATTTGATAAGCTGCAAGGACCTGATTTGTACTTTACAAAGGGGATTGAGAAGTAGTGTCTGTCTTGTAATACAGCTAAGCAAATGATTTTAAAGAATGTCCCATCCGTGCATCACCGGGAGTAGGTGAGGATGAACAACACCCTCATGGATATGGAGTTGCTGATCAGGGAGTTCGCCATCTAATAGAGAGCAATGTACGTATTAGTCACTTCTCATCCCTAGGACAAAGTACCACGCCTACAACTTAAAGGAGAGTCTTATTTTGGCTCTCGGTTTCAGTGGATTTCATCCATGGTCAGCTGGCTCCAAGGAAACCATGTATGGAATTTAACAGGGAGGCAGAGGAAAGCTGTGTACTGCGTGGTGTCCAGGAAGCTGGGGTGGCTGGGGACAACAATACGTCCTTCCAGGCCTTGCTATTGCCTGTGACTGATCTCCTAACAGCGCATTAAGCTACTAAAACCTCCACGATCCAGTCACCTTCCAAACACATGAAACTTTGGAGGAACATTTTAGATCTAAACCATAATAATTCAACAGGATGGTTTTATGAGAAAATGATCCAAGGAACAAGCAGCATAATAAAAATATGCTTGTGAAAAGTTGTTTGTAGACATTTGGTACTTGAGAGAAAAAAAGCTCAATGTTCTTTTGTAAATTCTCATGGAATTACAGCTTTCTCATAGTGGAGATTACTATGAGCACAGACCTGTGACCTGTTTAGATCCTGATCTCTGTACTAAATATTTAACAACCTTGACAAAGGAAAACAAAAACGTAGGCCACAAACTTGAAACCAGCTTGCCTTTCTTTCATGTCTTCCCACTCATTTCCCTCTCCTCTATTGCAGAACAGTCTAACCTGAACCATTCCATTTATTTCTTTGTTGTGATAAAATACACACAACATACACTTTTCCATTTTGGCCCTTTTAGAGCTCAGCGGCTTGCACTGTGAAACATCATCATCTATCTAGGGCCGGAATTCTTGGTCACCCGCAGAGGAAGCCCTGGCCCCGTTCTCTCCCATCCTTCCCACTGTCAACATCTAAGCTGCTTTCTGTATCAATGAATGTGCCGTTGTGGGTATTTCCTACCAATGAAATCACACAGTACGTGGCTGTCTTTGGTTGGCTCCTTTCTCTGAGCAGTGTTTCTGAGGTTCATTCATGATGCAGCATGTGTCAGTACTTGACTCCTTTTTATGCTGTACAGGATTCTATTAGATGCATATAGCAAATTTTCATCTAATGATGGGGACTCACTTTATTTTAAGGGGAATTCTATTTACAAAATAATGTAAAACTCAGTGACCATGCACACCTTTACAGCTTTGATTGTATATACAAGTAGAAAGACTTTTTAAAACTTTGACATCTCTGGCAGAAGCCTGCCTATGAGATATTCTATATATGAAGCTCATGAGACAGTGCTGGGCCTCACCTTAGACTCAGGATTTGCCTACATATGGGAAAGGAAGCCGTGAACAAAACTGCCCCAGGAAAGAGTTGAGAGCCTAGGACAGAGCCCTGCATTTGGAGGCAAAGTACAGGAAGAGGTTCCCCCTGAGATCTTCTGGCGAGAGAGGCTACAGGTGTAAAAACATAACCTAAGCTTATTATTCAGGGAAAAACACTGCCTGCTTTTCCATAGGGCTTGGAAGAGATTTAAATGAGATGACAAACTGAAAAAAGGTCTACATATGCAACCAATCGCTGGCCGTGGTTTGGACTCGGGGACGGTGGCAGGCAGCGGTACAGAGATGGAACCTTATTCTGAGCCTGAGCTCCCCGCCACTACCACCAGATTCTAAATGTGTTGCTCTCTTCATAGCATCATTGCCAACACCACCCAAATGGAAGCAAGCTTTTGACCCCTTAAAAATCAGTCTATTTAAAATGTTTTTCATGGTCGGTCTTTGTAAACTTGGCTCGTTTTTGCCATTAATTCCAAAGGCACTGGAGACCTGGAAAGAGGACCAAGAGATGGGTAGGGTAGAAGATGCATTCTGTGCATGCGCCAACCCACCATGAGGACTGTGGTCTCTACGTACTGCACACGTGAAGTCATAAGAATGTTTTTTAAATACCACAGACAGCTAACGGTATCTAAGTTGGGTGGCGGAGTTGGATGTGGAATCCAGAGCCCAGTGTGGCAGAGACTAGACGGGGGCTGGTTGCCCCGGCCAGTCCTCACCTCCACCCTGGGGCCCGTTCTAACCCTGGATTATCACACAAACAAAACTCCCATCCCAAAAGATCTCTTCGTCCTGAAAGGGAGAAAAGGAAGAGCCTCATCATTTCCCAAGAATATTTCATATTTTCCTCTTCCCATTCTTGTTAAAGAACAGCTGACCCAGGTTCATGCCCCACACTAGAAACAATTTCAATGTAGAAATTAACTTTAAATCTTCATAAAGTTATGGAGTCAAAAGTGGAAACATCACTGGAGAGCATTTATTCTTTCTTTCTGAAATCAGATTATTAGACACAGTTTTGTAAGCTTGCTATTTCTATTATATCCTTGACTATCACACTATCACTTCTCCCTTCTCCCTTTTGAAAAGTTAGTTTGAAGTTTTTTTTCTTTTTTTTTAGTCAGAGTCTCACTATGTAGTTCAGGCAGGCCTCGAATTCCTGGCAATCCTCCTGCCTCAGTCTCCCAAGTGCTAGGATTACAGGCCCAGCTGTTTGAATATTTTTTATAAACTCTCAAAAGACATTCGCACCTCTTCTTGGATCTTCTAAAAGATTTGTTAAAATGTGAAAATTTTTATAACTTTATCTTTCAGTGCTGTCATCTTTCTTCGTATTTTCATAAACTTCTCAAATTTTTCCATTTTTCACAGAGAATTTTCTCATGCTTTTTCTTATTTAACAATTTGATGCATTTTTTCTTGGAATTTTCTATTTTTGTTATTCTTATTTATCTTTCATGTATACTTGTATTCCATGCAATGGAATGCATGATTTTCTGTGAATCAAAGTTACAGATTGGCATAGCATTTTTTTCCTATGAACATGTACAAATTGCCTCACTTCTTATACTTGGTACAGACTGAGAGGTAGAAACACAGAGAGAATGTAACTTGTATTAAGCTAAGCAATTAGAAAGGTTGCTATCAATGGACTCTATGTTTCCAGCCCTAATCCAGTGCACTTTTTGCTGGAAAATGGACAACTCATGACGTTCATGACCTAGGTCATATTGGCTGTTGTCCAAATATCATGGTCAAAACCAGGACAGGGCCCATGGAGAACTATTCCTGCCTGATCTGTTATTCATTTAATACAAGAAATAATGGAATCTGTGTGTGTGTTCTGATCTGTGTGGTAGAGTGTGCTTCTCTGATGGTTTGAGTTACGGGACATGAAGTACTTGAAAACACAATAATAGCATTCGCTGTTATGGTTCCCAGATCACCAGTGGTGATTCGTGAGTGTAACATTGTGAACCCAGAGCTAAGTGGGAAGCCGGGAGAAGCTGAGGAGGAGACCTCAAGCCCAAGGGAAAATGTTCACTACACGACTGTGATATTTGCTCCTTAAGAAAATAGAGAAAGAACAAGCAAGAAAAATAAACAAAATTTAAAATGATAAGGAGAAGGTGTTCCTAAATATTATGGGTGGATAGTTTTAAATGTCAGTAAGTTTAACTAGAAACATCATGGGAAGAGTCATAGAGAATAGTTTCATGTGGGAAGAGAGGTTTTTTTTTAATTGACATTTAAAGACCTAAATGTCTTAAGTGGAATGACTGTTAAAATGCAGAATTAGACTGCATTTGGGGAGTGTATTTGAGCAGCACCCTCAGAGGCAGATAATGGGTGACTCACATCACCGAGTAGTTTGGGCTGACTCACATGTTTTGGAAGAAGGTGTCATCAAATTGCTGCTTTTGTCAGTGTTTTTCCCTTTGTTCCACCTGGCAGTACAAAATACTTTCTAAAACGCTGGTAACTTTTTTCCCAAGACAATGTTCCAAAGCACCCTGCCCTGACTCTAAGGTTTCAAATATACAGGCAGGAGGTAAATTCGAACGACACTTACCAACAAGAAACCCACGTCCCTGAGTGTCCCTGTGGAATCCCAAGCCCGGGTGAGGGGATGTGAAGTGAAGACCCACAACTGGGCTCGGACTATGAGGATGGCAGAAAGGGTCTTTCCTACCCCACTGCTACCTGAGTGGAACTTCTCGGAACATAGTTTTAACCAATGGATATTATCTGATATCCATACAAGATGTTGCGGACATCCAAATAAGAAGGCACTGGTCTTTGTCCTAGAAAGATGCAGGCACAGTAAATACTGAGTAACATTTGATATATTATGATACATATATGAAGCAATATTTGGGGGAACCCAGAGCACCCTAGACTCCTAGGATTGAGAGGGCCTCAGGGATGAATGGAAATTCTAAATGTTGATAAAATAGACAAAGCATTTGAGCCAGGGGCAAGGACCACACTGGGCTGGCAGTGTTGGCTGATGCTAGAGACTGGCTCGTGATCCAGACCAGCCATGGAGTTGAAGGAACGGAAGAAGGTGAGATGGGAATCCAGGACCTAGAGCTCTATCAGCTCGGTGTAGCTCTCTTGGCATGCACGGCGCCCATGACCTATGTTTTGGTGTTGTCCCACTCTCAAGAGTGTCCGGCCTGGAAATGGCTGTTCTGAATCTGTGACTCAGTTCCTTGGCAAAGCCTCAGTTTGGGTGATGAATAACAGTTGCCTGAGAAAACCTTGCAACCTTCTCCATCCCCGTTCAGCCTTATGGTGCTGGTAGAGCATCCAGTGCCAAGTCCTTGATAAATATCTGCTGAGAAAATATGAGGCCTGCCCACAGGTGCACACTTACACAGCCACACCACCAGGGAAGCTCCCCTTGCCTCTGAACACATATATTTCCCAGCTGTGCTACAGCTTTCTAAGTCGATTCCCAGGCTGTACTGTGGATAGATTTCTTTGATACTTTGCTGTTTTCCTACAGGATTGAAAAAGCGTACAAGGAAGGCCTTTGGAATACGGAAGAAAGAGAAGGATACTGATTCCACGTATGTACTTTGCTCCTCCAACAAGCTATTTCCTAAGAGATGTTGTTGTCATCACTTAGAGATTTCCTTGAATAGCAACACTTTCTGCGTTCAGCTCATTTCTGGGTGGACCATGGCTGCGCTGCATAAATCCTCTTAGGTCTGAACTAAAAGGTACAGATGTTCAGATTGTCGTGATGTGTTATTTTTTTACTACCTGATATCTACACTTTTCAGCAGTCCTAGGAGGCAGAAAGTGTGACAGTTACTTCTACAAACATTCATTTCCACTTTAAGCATTGCTCCTAGGATGTCTGAACTGAAGACTTAGCAAAACTTATATTTAGGTAGATTCACCCTCACCAAAGCCAGAGCTGTTTACTGTGTAATATCCCAAAGCTCTTGCTTGAGGGGCCAAGAGTGTGTTCAAACAGAATTGTGAATCACCCAGCAGAATTCACAGCAATGCCAGAAGGGGGGTTTTATAGATATTACTGATCTCATGCCTATGGACACCAATAGGCCCTTGGAAATGTTGATAGCATAACAGTTTCATTATAATTCCTTCTACTTATTATATTATCTTGAATTCTCCTTCAAAAATATGTGGTCTGACGATAATCTCAGCTGAGCCAGACAGGTAACTTCAGTACATGAAGGCAGCTGGCCGGGAACTCAGATTTCTAGCCCAAGATCAGTGTAAGGAGACCACGGCCACCCAGCTATGGCTACAGCAGGAGAGACACACATCTGGGGTGGTCTGCTGTGTATCAGAAAGGAGCCCTCTAAACCCCTCATCTAGCAGGACTCCCTGAGAGTTATAAAATGGGAAAATCAAAGTCCTATAGGCACAGGACTTTAGCTTTCCATTCTGTGCATTTTTATGATGCGTAAGTTTGATCCCTAGGTACTTGGCATTCTCTTTGTCCCTGTCCACCGTGAACTTATAATTCACAGGATAAAACACTGCACACATTAAAATCTCTTTCATACAAGTTAAGGAGATCACACATTGGAAATGTGCCCTGTGGTCCTCGGTATTTAGGTAATGCTCAGAACTGTCCTTATCATCACGGATGTGAATTTACAGCATGTGTCTCCTTTCAGCAAAGGAGGTGGAATTTCATGGGAATTAGAGGGCGAGGAAGGTACACATGTGGATGTGATCTGTGATGTTCAGGGCAGGAAGGGCCTCCATTTTGGTTTCAAGAATGTGAGGCCATGGATTCCACGCACAGAGAGCAACAGGAGCAAAGGCAGAGGACGGTGGGAAAGTCGGGAGGCGCTGAGGGAAGTGCAGGGGTATGGGAAAAGGCAACGTGGGCGGCGAGGCTGGAAAGAAGCCGAGGGCCAGTAGCTGAATGCCTGGGTTCCCTTCCCTGGGCGAGGGTCACCTTGGCACCCCAGGAGTTTTTAAACTACAGAATGCAATGGATTCGGGAGGCGAGAGCTATTTATTTGGTCTAGGTACCAAATGTTCAAAGTCTCTTTTTGCTATGTTTGTGCTTTTTTTTCTTTTGGAAAACACCCATGGAAATTATATTCACTGTCGTCTTGACAATTTTCCGGAGTGACTGAGTTAGAAACATTTTTCTACAATTTACTTCTTCTTAGTAAACCTGACATCACCCAGAACAGGTGGCGTCCTCTGGCCAAGTTGTGCTCTTGTCCCAACTCTGATGGTGACAGTGTGGCCCGAGAAACTTTTTTGTTGGGCCTCCATTTCCTCAACCATCAGAACTTTACTCTCACCAGAATCTCCTTCGCCTGAAGGCCTAGGCATGGCCCTGACCATTCTGCTAGCAATGCCCATGAGCAGCAACCGTGAGCCACGCGGGCGTGGGGCACTGCAGCTTACGCTCAGCACTTCAGAGTGGAAGCCAAGGCCGCTGTCCTAGGCAGATAGTGTCAGCTACTGCTCTCTCTAAAGGAAAAGAGAGGCCCGGTGCAGTGACGCAGGTCTGTGATGCCAGCACTCTGAGAGAGAGAGAGAGAGAGAGAGAGAGAGAGAGAGAGAGAGAGAGAGGAGAAAGATAGAAAATTAACCTTTCCAGGACAGGCTGAGCTAATTTACATGTGGCCAAAGCACTGTTTCTCTGTCACCATTTCTAAAGCAATGAAAATAAGTTAAGTTCCTCTTCATGGCTCCAGGTAGACCCCCAGTTTTGCTCTGCAGCCCTCTGAGGAGACATCTATCTGTGTGTAGAATCCCGAGTGCCGCTCCTTAACCTCTTACATCTCAGCATCCAGATTTCTTGTCTGACAGCAAATTAGTTGCACTCTGCTTCCCCCAGCAGCGACGGTCGAAGAACACACTGCTCTGTAGAAGCTTTTGTTTTTCATGAACCCCTGCTCGCTAACGGGATCACATAGCATTTTTAAAAAAGGATTCATAATCGCAAAGGGGTTGGTCCAGTGCTCTGGCAATCTGCGGGCGCTTAAGCTTTCGTTAATGCCCACAATGAGTCCACAGTCCTTGAAACCCTGTTGATGAAAACTGTTTTCACTTGCAACTGGCTTGGGTTGCTAAGCAACCTGCTAGGTTGGTGCCGCGCGGCACCAACTTCCGCCGCCGATTGAGCCTCCTCAGACAGGGTAGGGACCAGACCTTCCTGATTTGATCACCGGTGCAGTGGCTGATGGCAAGAGGAAGGGAGGGCCTGAGCTAAGGGCAGCACTGTGCAAGATATTTTGTGTGCCGAGATCCTTCCTAATCCTCGCGGTAATTCAATAAGGCAGCAGTAATATCTCAGTTGCAGAGATGAGCGATCCATGCCAAAGAGGTTCAGGACTTTGCTGGAGGCTGTGCAGAAAATGGGATTTGGAGCCAGCGTCTGAGTTCACAAACAAGTGCCTATGCATGCGTCATCCTCAGGCTCAGATGCCCTCCCAGCTGTGCACGTCTCTCTCCACCCTGTGAAGCAGGAATGAATTTCCGTACCTGGTCCACCTCCTGAGGAACAGTTCCAACCCTACCAAACTCCTAGCACCGATGACAATTGTTTTCCCAACAATGCAGCTGCCTCTCTGAGCATGTTTCTGGTTCTTTGTTCTAGCAAACATTTTTAAGGGCCTTACAGAGTGAATTAAAATTGGGAGTTTGCAGTGGCCACCAGTCTAGTTCCCCAAAGTAACGACGAGAAGCCCCTCCTACGTCACTCTACTGCCAAGAGCGAAGAGACAACACTGCAAAGAATCCAGCGCCAGCTGCACTGACCCCGCTTAGCGTATGTCAGACGCATTGCGCTGCCCTTGCGTCTGCTGTCCTGCTTACCCTGGCCTGGAGAGGGTGGGGAACCTGCCCAAGGCCACAGAACCATGCGTGCTGAAGTCTGAACTCCAGATGTACCTCCCTCAAGAGCTGCTGCCCCTAACTGCTACTGCCCAGTGCCACCACACACAGTGACCCAGTAACCACGACAGTCATCCGAGGGAAGCACTTAGCAAATATCACTGTTTCCTGCTCGTCTATCATTAAAGGAGACTTACATGTAAAAATATGGAAGAAGGTGCAGATTCTCAAAATAAGTTGGGGGGAAAAAAAAAACACCAGAAAAGTCTCCGGTTATGAGGCAATGCAGGACTGCTCACAGGGAGGGAGGATAGGAGAGCAGAGATCCATCTATGCGGAACGTGCCCGTACAGCATGGAGCCAGCTAGACAGGCCAAACTCTTTAATGTTCAAACCAAGCATCTTACGACATACTTGTTTTGATTTAGCTTTTCTCGGCCAGATTGCTGGGCAGAGATGGTGGTTAATGATTCTTGTGACAGTATAATCTGCGAAGCAAGAGTGATTGATCTTCATAAGTGCTATCAATTTCTTTCTCTTGCAGAGGTTCCCCGGATCGAGATGGAATTGTAAGTATTTAAATAACCATTTCAGCTGGTTTGCGTTTAATACATGCCGTGTTGCAATTGCTTAAACCCCCATTACTTTTTCTGTTTTTCCTCCTACAGGGGAAAAAACTAGATGGGATGGCTTTTCAGACTTCTCACTGCTAATAATTTTCTCCAGTAATTGCATGGACGAAAGTGTAGTCTTGGTGTGGCTGGACTTATTTAAGGCATTCACCTGAACCCCTGCCTGGGGGCGGGAAGGGGACTGGGCTTGCAGGGTGGGTCAAAAGCCAGACTGGGCAAGGGCTGCTAATGTTTCCAGCCATTGCTGTTATTCTGTTTCCAGCCTAACGATGTAAAAGCTCATTATGTGAGAATGTTTTTCTCCAACCCAGGCCACAGAGTCATAAAGGAGCTAGGATTCAATAAAATCAAAGGAAGCTTTTCCCCTTGAGTAGTTGGGCTGCAGATACATTTTCTATATTAAATCCAAAAACAGGGAATGGTCTTAAAACCATTTATGCTGAATTTACACCCTGAAGGGAGAAAATACGTCCTCTGGGCTTAGATTTAAAAGAAAATCTGACTCCTTCCTGGCTGCCAGATTTCTTGCTTTTTGAAGACGCCTGTGGTACACGGGTTGAGATTTACCCAAGCTGTGCTTACAAGATTCTGCCCCAATTTCTAAAACAACTTCCTTCAAATCTAAATCAGATGCCTGTTCACAGAGTTTAAAAGAACAGCTGTTACCAGAGGAAAAAAGAATGAACTTATATTAGGTTCTCTGGGCTGGAGTGGGAACTAAAATCAACCCGGTGATTAAAAGTATTTTTTCAAAATAATCACCCTTTCCAATCAATCCGTATGCCTAACTTGGGGTGCTAATGCAAGGAAGCTATAGCAGGGTCCCCCACACAAACTGAGCCGAGGTTCCTAGGATGGGGTACCTGTGCTCCCTGTGGTTCTCGCTATGGAATGTTAAGGAAATAGACTGAAATTGACCAGACATTGGGTAACGCTGTAATCAAGGCTCTATTCAGCAGGGGAAAAAAAAGACCCAGAAGACTCAGCTTCTCCTCAGCTCTTGCTTCTGGCTCAGAGCCCTCTCCTTAACTCTGTCTCAGGTACTCTTTGCTTCTGTGTCTTCTCTCTGCTGCTGCCGTGGTCCCCGCCTCGGTCCTCCTGTCCCCTGCATTCCTACCTCTGCGAGGCCCTGTGAGCTGCGCCGCCCTCCTCCGGGGCTGGACCGGTGCCTGCTGCCTCCCTCGCTCTGCCCCTCTCTGTCTCATCCCTGTTTCCTCTCTCCACACCTCACACCCCACCCCTGCTTGTCTCTGAGTCGTCTCTGGGGCCCCATTGCTACCTCTGCTCTCTGCGTTTGGGGGAGCCTGGTTTAAACCTCGTGTGGAACACTCACCTTGATACCTGAGGTGGCGGCTGACAAGGACAGGTGACCAGGGACGTTCTGGGGACACATCCTGCTGAGTGACGGCTTCAAGCCTGGTCTCCTGAGCACTCCCTGCAGCATTCCAGGTGCTACAGAGTTGTTTGCTAGCGGGTGCGGCCCGTCCTCTTCCCTCTGCAGTCAGAAATACCTTTAGTATCGCTGGTCATGGTCAGTGAGGAAGAAGAATTCCCTGATTTCATTTTCTCGGGAAAGAAAGCAGAACTGTCCCGAAAGCTACGTCTGAAATAGTTGCATTTTCTCAGAAGGAGGGTAGACAGCTTCATAGGCCATTGGAAATGATTACTCAGCTACTACTTTTCCTACTTGAAAATGTTCAAGTTTATCCCAAAACTTGGTTGCCGCAGTTTGAAACCCAGCACAGTCTGGGTAGCCCCAAGTTTCTGGCTATATTCGGTCCTTAGAAATCGCAAGCTGGTTTTCTCTCCAGTTCTCACGGATTCCTTGGAGACTCGCGTCTGTGCGCTCGGTCCCCTTTTGAATGGCTGAGGTCGCTTCAGAAGTATGTCCGGTTAGGGGTCTGGCGTCGCAGTTTCACTCATGGAAGCCTGTGGTGTGCAGGTGGTGTAGACCCAGCCAACGCCCATGAACTGGGTGCGCCCGGTGGGAACCACCGCTCTCGGGTGGGGCTGTCCGTATGCAGGTCCCTTGCCTTGCTGTCCATCGCTGAGTGTGCCCCGGGCTGGCAGAGCTGTCCCTCTCAGTGTCGGGACTTTAGGCAGCTGAGCGTGACGCAGGTTTAACTCAGACACAAACTGGCGTGGCCAGCGCGTGCTCGAGCTTTCTCCTCAGCTGTTCCGATTTCCCTGTACAAGTGGACGGAAGCTTGAGTGCCACCGCTCTTGCCGTGAGGGCCTCCTGTGTGCTCCTCCCGGACAGGCCAGCAGGGAAGACACAGACTTGGGACTGTTGGCTGTGCGTCCTCTGGGGATCAGGGGAAAGCAAGGCGGAGCTGAGCTGTTCACACTTAGATCAAGAACACAGCCGTTTCTGCTCGGTCTCTTCTTGTGGTCTTGGTGTCTGTTCTCTCCTTGTAACTGAATGCTGGGGAATGAGGACCGGATCCGCACGCTCCCCCGTGCCTGGGACACATCCTCCCTTCCTCCCTGGCCTTGCCAGTCTCGCTGGCCTGCTGAATAGAGCCTCGTTATGGGCCCCAAAACCCTGCCGAGATTGGTAGGCCGTACAATTTGGCCTAGAAATTGTTTCTTCTATGGTATATTTGCTGACTCCATGTGATTCTTTATATGTGTCTTGAAGAACAAACAGATTCTTTAACAACTTTTTTCTACATGAAAACAATCAATTCCAGCAGCCCAGCCCACATGAGCCACCCTACAGTAACAAAGCAGAGTGTGCACGTGAAGGAGGAAAAAAAGTTTCGGTAAGGAAACAGATTTTAGTTTAAAATTTCCAAGGGGTTGTAGAAACAGTGAGTAAAATCCAATTTGAAATTTGGAAAACACCTCAGCTTTGATTCACCCTGCTTTGAAGAGGAGTCTTTCTCAGGCATTCCCAAATTATTTCTTGAACTCCTGGGGCTTATTTTTAAATCAGTCATAGACTTCTATGTATTGACTTCCAAATATTCTTTCAAAGAATGATCAGGCATTAAAAAAATAAGAACTTTTGTCTTGGACAAAAAAAAAAAGATTCAAATTTCTTTTTTAAATCTGCTGTCTATAAAGAAGGCTTTGACAATCATGTAAACACAATGAAAATTGAGTAGTGTCATTTGCTCAGATGAGCACCCTGTCAGTCACATTGGTAATTTTCCAGCTCTTCCTCTGTAGAAACTGTGAAGAGTCAGGGTCACTGCACCAGGACTAACGGTACCGTAACTACAGCTGTGTGATCCGGTGTGGCAGCCAATGTCAATATTCAGTTAAAATTCCATCCTGACCACACTCACCACCTTTTAAATATTCCATAGCTGCTCGTCCCTGGTGGCTATCATGTTGGACAGCACATGGCTGGAACATTTCCATCTCCTCAGTGAGATCCACTGGATGGTGCTGTTCTACAGCATCTTTTACAAGATGATTCCGGTCTACTTTGGTGAAGATGCTGCTTGGGAAATATACCAGGTGTCTTAAACACTTCCTACCCTAGGACACTACAGAGCCATGAGCTGACCCCAGAAAAGAGTGGCCACTCACAGTGAAAACTGAGAACTTGGAAGGATATGTAACAAACGGGACATGGTTGTTACTGCAGTTGTCGATTTGGCCCATCGTGTTATCTGAGGACAGATAATAGGACTAGCTAAAGAAAATGCCCACCAAAACATTAACATCCCCATGAGCCTCAGTTATCTTTAAATAAGTCATGTATTCAAGTTATAAAGGTTCCTTATGCCAGGTGTAGAATTTTAGAAAATACAGAACTAGAAGAACTAAAAGAATGCACTACTCCCGTCCCAGGAGAAACAAATCACCACTTCACACCCCGATGAATGCCTCACTGGTTGCTCTCGAGATCAGGCCTAGGTGTTAAAGGATGGCCCACCCACAAGCAGTGTTCCTTCCTGCTTTCTCTTCAGTGAAAACATACCTTGCTCGGTGTGTAAACAAAAAAGAATTTTTCCTTAGGATTTAGCAAGAAACATTCCACAGCCTAGCTTGAACAGTTTTCCCTTGTGAACCCAAAGAAGTTTATAAATGCAACTACCACCCATGAATGAGGCCAAATTGCCAGTGTCTCTAGTAAAGGCAAGGGTGTGAGTGTGTGTTGAATACCTGCTAAGAACAACTTACTGTTGTGATTGTTGTTTGTGTCTAGTGTTTGTTTTTAAAATGTTTCTCTTTTAAAAGAAAACTTTTTATAGGTTTTGCTTTCCCTTCCTCCGAACCTTCTATTAGTTTTCATACAAATGGCAATTTTCACTCAACCCAAATTCAGGAATTTCTTCACATCCAGTACGAGACATGTATTACAAATTGTATCTATATTCGCATGCACACACATGGACATACGCAGTTTGCTCACATACAGACTGTCTTTGTCTTAGCACTTTAACAGAGTTGATGATATTATCATGGAAACAAACTGTAGAACGTTGAAAATTTTGAACTCAGTAATTTAATCTTTTTAGTTTGGGGATGGCAGTGCTTGGAATTCAGAAATTATTTAAAAATGAACGGCATATTGATAGCAGTTTTATGTTGACCACAAAATTCTTTTTTTTTTTTTCTTTTTTTTTTTTTGGTACTGGGGATCAAACTCGGACCCTTACGCTTGCAAGGCAGGCAGCAGAACCACTGAGCCAAATCCCTGGCCCTGATCACAAAATCTATGAGTTTACTCCGCTGGAATCAACTTAGTTCATTTGATTCCTGATTATTATAAATTGAATTTTGTAATTACACATGCTAGGAAAGGGGTTCGTGCATTTTGCAATGAAATTGTATACAAAAGGATCAGTAAAGCAGGGATTTAAAAAGAAAACAAATATGACAAAAGTAGGAACCGAGCCTATTTCCAGAGAAGAATTGGTATTATCTCATATGTTACTAAGTGGAGTTTGTTCTCAACCGTAGCTTCCTAAAATGAACAGGTCCAGAGTTGACATGGTGAGTTGTGAACAAGATCTGTGAATAAGGTAGAAAGAATATCACTGAAACTCCAACTGGAAAAAGTCATGCCGGGGGGAGGAGTAAACTGATGTCCCAGGGGATGCAGAACCTTTAAAAGACAGGAGCAGAACAAAGATCGAAAGAAGCATAGGCCCGTGTTTGGGGTGTAGGCGTCTGCGGACGCACGAACGGGTTCCCTGCATTTGTAACATCCAGGCAGTGGCATTATAGAAAGAGGGGCATCCGTGCCGCCTCTGCCCCTTGTGCCCCTGTCCACTGTGCACACTGCCCGATCCTGGGATGCCTAGTGAACATTCAGGACTGTTAGCCAAAGATCCTCTTGCAGACATAAACGCTGCCTCCCCTCACCCATTCGTCAAACTGAGTGGTAGCCGCTTACGCTGGGTTCAAGTGGCCTCTGTCTGTGTGGGCAGAATGAGAAGTCTCATTGTCCTCGTGCCCTAACCTGACACGCGTCGTGCTGAGGTCCGCTGCGTGGTGACATGCATCGCTGTGTGTGGTCAGGGTCAGGGTGCCGTGGTGTGCGCCACCATGAGCAGCTGGATTTCTGCTTCAGTCCTTTGCTCACAGAAAGTAGAAAATTGAGCAAGCTTCATTTGGATGTTCTTTTTTTCATGTGTTTGTGGTTACGTCATGACTGTACTTTAAGATAAAGTTCCTGTCTGGAAATTCTTTAAATAAACTTTAAGATAACCAAGACCCAAAGTAAAACTTTAAGACAATCAAGACAGAATAATGCTCATTTCCAATCTACTTATAAAAATACGAGCTCATGGAGGCAGGGAACGTGGGCAAGGGACTCCCACCATCGATCCTCAAATTCTGTTTTAATAACTGGAGGAGAAACTGCCAGTGGAAGGAATACCAACCTCACTTGGAACAACTAGGGACTGAATAAACTAATCCTGAGCTTTCTTCCTTTGTATTTGATCCAGTAGTTAGGAAAAAAAATAATAAGTCACTGTTTGAAATGCTGAAAGATTAGTTAATGGTTTGAATGAACATTCTTTGGATATGTTGGAATTCAGTGTATATGATAGCAGCATAGAAGTCAAAATGTTTCCTTTTAAAATATATCTGTATGTGGTTATGTCCCCTGAAGGTAGAGAGGATTAAATGATAATGTAGGTGTTGTGAATTCTCCCATAATTACATAAAACTCCAGCCTCTAGTTGTTAATAGCTCTCTGCGTAGGTATCCTGCAGGGTTTGTGAAGTGAGTGTGTAGGTTTTTTATTCAGTCTCATGGCAGCTGGGTTCCACTCTCATTGTTCAGTGTGGTTTCATACTAGGCTGTGCCCGTTGTCTTTCCAGTGCTGGATTTTGGTAGCGCTCATGAAATATAGATGAGAATTCCATGGTTTTTGTTGTTATTTGTTTTGGTTTTCATTTAAATGTTTCCCTCCTAAATTTATTTTGAAATTTATTACAGAAGAAAAGCAACGGAGCACCAAATGGATTTTATGCAGAAATTGACTGGGAAAGATATGTGAGTATCAAAATACTGCCTTCTTTATCAAGTATTGGGTAAATTAGAATGGAAGCACTCCGATTTACAATAAGACGCAGAGAAAAGCGAAGTACGTGGAAGACACTCCGTCCTCGGAGGAACTGTCTGCACCCTTAGGACAGCAGGGAGCTGAGAACACTAGTCTGTCAGACCCGGTTGAAGACCTGGTCCTCGCGCCCATGCATGTATCAGCTCTATGCGGCCATAGAAGAGTGATTTTGTTGAAATTAGTATAGTAGTTAATTTCCCAACAAAAGCAAAGTTGGTATAACAGGTACTCTGTCATTGACTCGGTGGTTTCAGGAGCATGCCAGCCCAGGTTGTGCTCAGACGTGCTCTTTTCTTGTAGAAACACTGGGTGTTTCTGCCCAGATTCTATTTCTAGGCAGCCTTGAGAGCAGAGGTAAGTCACTTAGCCACTGAGCCTTGGTCCTGCGCCAACCACGATAGCCACATGGTGCAGATCTTCCCAGGGTCAAGTGGTGATCATATGTTCCTTTCCAAGGAGTGATATGAACCCAGCAGGCCTAAACTCTCCCCGTAATTCCCCCCAAAACCCACTAACAGTAACGTCACCACCACACACTTCACCAGCTACAACAGCACCGCCTGCAGGACCCAGCCGGGATCGCGCTCAGGTCCCTCATGGAGAAGGCGGGCTTCCGCCCCTGAAGTTCAAGTTGTTTGCTTGCTAAACACCCGAATTCGTGAACTCATGGGATAGTTTTGCTCTTAGCCTTTAGCCAGCTCTCCTGGCCCGACTTTCTCTTTCACAAAAATGAAAGCTTTTGCATATTTGTTAATAAGACTTTTGTTTTTATAATAACTGTGTCACACTGCAAACTCACTGTCTTTTGTAATAGCAAACGCTGTTAAATCCTTTCCTCCCGAAAAGGAAAACACCGCATTTTCGATACTGTAGAGGAAACCGAGGCTCAGGGAGGTGACGCGCCTCATGTATGCCACCTCAGCCGTTCAAGTATGCCGCTCTGCCAACGCCCGGCCCTCTCTTCTGCCTGCTTCTCAAGATTGGGATCCTTTTGATATTTTGAGCACTTCAGTCCCCTAGAATGCTGAATAGCCCCCAACTTAAATTCACATTATTCACAGATAACGTTATAAGGGGAACTATTAGGTAGGAACAGGGACTTCTTTTCTCAAAATCATTTTTTTCTTTTTTTTGCTTAGAAAAATTCTGTCATATTTTGTAGGGTTCTTCAATACACAAGAATGGTAAACTCTAAGCAAAAAGGAAGAATGACATTAAAATATCAAATTACTCATCAAATGCTACAAACAACCTCCCATCCCTCATAAAAGCCCTAAACTCTAGTGCTGCTCCTGGGCACAATGTGTTTAAATAAAGCATAATTTCCTTCAGAGGGGTTTAGCCCTAAAAATCAGATCACACAGGAACTGCTGTTGTACCTATGCATCAAACAACAATTGCTCAAAATGCTAAGAAGAATTTTATTCTTGACACCATCCCTATTCTGGTAAGAAAAAAATTTCAGAGAAAAAGTGAGCTTTAAGCAAAGGCCTGAATGTAAGTAGAGGCGCGCTGGTTGTGTAGGGCAGAAAAGTCCACGCTGGCAAAACAGAATGCACTGGGGACCCCGAATGAGACAGCTCTGCAGAATCCAAATGGTAAAAGTTGACAGTGGGACCTGGGCATCAAGGCACAGGCCTGGAATGCCAGCATTCTCTGCGGCTGAGGCAGGAGGATCTCAAGTCCAGCCCAGCCTGAGCAATTTAGAGTCGACTCACTGCCTAAAAATATACATTGTTTTTAAAACCCTGGGGATGCAGCTCAGGGCTGGTTCAATTTCCAGTATAAGGTGGGGGCGGGTAGAAGGGACGGAGGGAGGGAGGGGAGAGGACAGAAAAAGTCCACCATGAGAAGAATCTGCAGCTCAAGGAAGATGACGAAAGAGAATCAGTCACTGGCCAGGGGCTAAAGAAAGGGTGGAGCCTGGTCAGCTCCCCTGGGCACTGGGCTGCTCTTCTCTGCGCTGTGAGAAGCCACGACAGGTTTTTGGCAGGCAAGGACCTCGGAACACTTGTTTCAAAGAAAAAGGTGATTCTGAATCCTCCCGAAGCGAAGCGAGACAACATCGAGATCACAATAAATGCTCAAAACCTGGTGGCTTCCAGACACAGAAACACACTCCAATCTCATTGAAATGTAGGATCTTTTCCAAAGCTCAATGAAATAGAGACACAGAAGGGCGGTTACCAGGGTAGCAGCAGGTCATAGGGTTCAAACTCGCAGGGCAGTGGGATGAGTGTGCCTGGACAGTGCGTGTGTGCCACGAGGCTATTGGGAATGACCCTGAAACTTGCTGAGAGTTGATTTTAGCTGCCACACGCACAAGGTAACTGAAAGTGGTGCTGTATGAACTGGACAGTAGCAATTCAGTCTCTGTGTCTGTACCTCAAAACATCAAGTGCTTCTTAAATGCATGCAATAAAAAAATCATTTTTAAAAATGGGTGGCCTAAGCCAGGCGTGTTGGAACACACCTATCATCCCAGCACTTGGGAGGCTGAGGCAGGAGGACCACCAAGAGTTTAAAGCTAGCTTGGCCTACATAGTGAGTTCAAGGTCAGCCTGAACTACATAGGGAGACCCTGTCTCAAAAGCCCAAACAAGTAGCCTTTTCCATGGAAGCTAGGGCCCAAGCTTCCTCCACGGCCACGTATTATCGTTGTTTTAGAGACTGAAACTCTTCGGCCCCATCCTCTCTCTGCCAGGCTTTCAAATTGGACCACTGTCCCGCTGGCTGCCTTCCTCCCCTGAAGCTCACAAGCGGGGCTGATCTCACCAGGCCTGGGCCTGGGGCACTGGCAAGAGCCGGCTGCACCTGTCCTGGGACAGGGCGTCTGATTTCACCTGGGGGCTTCCTTGGTGGCTGGGTCATGTGGTCCACTTACGGCTGGCCTGTCTTTCAGGGAGGTAAGGTGTGAGCCCCAACTCAACGCAAATGTGAACTACTGAGCCCAACCCCGCAACTGGCCTTTGATCTCTCCTGCCTTTTTCTTACAAGTACCAGCCGCTTCCAGGGCCTGGAGGGTTCAAACCTGGGACTCCCCTAGAAGCTTCCTTTCCCTTTCTCCCTGTGCATATCTGTTTCCTGGAGCTAAAACGACCAGCCCTGTACTCCTTCCATCCCACCAGACCTGACCCTCAGCCTTCATCTTCACCAACCTTGCTCCAGGCCCTCTGCACCAGGCTCCCTGGGAACCCATCCCCAAGACACCTTGATTCTGCTGTCAGCACTCCACACCCCAAAGAGGCTGCAGCTGCTCCAGCCCAGAAGGCGCTGAGCCTCCCATTCTGTTCTACGCTCTCTGCTGTCCTGCCTCCCTACAGGCCCTTCCCACCCTGTCACTCTGCCCTCTCCAGGCTGTACAGAAGGGTCCATGCACAGACACCCTGCAACTTTCAGATGTCCCTGATTTCCTCTTCCTTTTAACACTGGTAGGCTGTTTTGTTTGTGGGTGTTTTGTTTTGTTCTGCTCTGTACTGGTGATTGAGCCCAGCAGCGCTCTACCACTGAGCCACATTCTCAACGCTTTTTAAAATAAAAAAATTTTTTGAGATAAAGTCTCACCTAGGGTCTCACCCAGGTGGGACTCAAACATGCCATCCTCCTGCCTCAGCCTCCCTAAATGCTGGGGTGCTTGTGTCACCCCAAACGGCTTGATGTTTTGTGTTGTTGTTTTTATTTTTTATTTTTGCCTATTCAAATACATTTCAAGTTCCCTGAGGACAGATAATATGCATTTTGATCCTTGCATTGCTGGACACCGTTCTTGGCTTACACAGAATGGCGAAATCAACTCTGTGTGTGGCACCTCTCAGAGACAATTGATTCCTCCTCTATTTTCAGAGTGAAAGGATTCTCCAAGTTTCCTTGGGTAAATATCTAAAATACACTGCTCAAAGTTAAAACCTTAGCCCCCTAAAGGAGGGACCCGTCTATATCCTCAGAGAGATGACGCTAGAAAGGACAAATGTCTCATCACTTCAGGGTAATGACCTCCTCCTGCGCACTTGTATTTTGCAGAACTCACCTGAACTGGATGAAGAAGGTTACAGCATCAGACCCGAGGAACCCGGCTATATCCTTTCTTTATTTGTTTTGATTGTAATTCTCATTCTCATCCTCGGAAAACAGTGAGCTCAGTTCAGGTTTTACAAAGGTGATGAAACCTTCAAGCTGCCCTTCCTAATTTAGAGATGGATAAAGAGCCCAGAGGCTGGCCTGAGTGCTACACAGCCCTCATCAAAGCCCTAATCTATTCACGGAGGGTGGGGCGGGGCGGGCAGAGAGGAAAAAGGCCACGAAGCCCAGTTGTGTAATTGTAGGTATTGAGCTGCCTGCTCCAACCCGAAGGCAGCGTCATTTGTGGTCACGGGGAAGTCGCTCCCAGTTCATTGCTGGGCAAAATCCGCCTCCCCCGGAAGTACGTAAAACTGGTCACAGGCCGTGGCTTAGCCGCCCTCTGTCTCAGAAGTCCAGCGGAAACGCCGGAGGGCAGCAGAGACGCAGGCTGTCGATCATGACTCCTTCGAAGTCACCGTCTCTGCTCTTGTTCAGGGGATCGGTGATGAAATCCTAGCCTTCGCCCGTTTGCTTTTGTTCGTTTGGCTTTGATTTCTGGCCTGCTAAGGACCCTTTAGCCCTGTCTGTGTCTTAGCCTCGCCAGCGTCTCCCAGCAGAAGAAAGAGCTAAGTATCTTTAACTGTGTTCTACCTACCAAAGGAAAGCACTTTTACTCCTCCAGTGAATCGGAAGAGGAAGAAGAGTCGCACAGGAAGTTCAACATCAAGATCAAGCCATTGCAATCTAAAGACATTCTTAAGAATGCGGCCACCGTGGATGAGCTGAAAGCGTCCATAGGGAACATCGCGCTGTCCCCGTCGCCCGTGGTGAGTGGCGTTCCCGTGCTAAGCTTTGAAAGGTTGGGTGGATCCGCGTGTTCTGCGCCCCAGACCCTCCTTGCGCTGGAGGCTGCCGCATACCCTCACCATTTCCTGAGTTCCGTCAAGCTTAGACAGCGCCCTCTAGCATAAGGAAGTTGCCTCGCTTCCTACTGCGCTTCTTAACGGTTTTCAAAATGCTGAAAATGCCTGGGAACTTGTTTTCTTTTCTAGTCCTGCGAGCATTATAAACAAAGAAAGGAAAAAAAATGAAAAAAAAATCCAGATTTGGCTTCTGAGGCAGACTTAATGATTAAAAACAACGAAGTTCACAGATTTACTGAGTTTTAAAAAATCTTAGTTTCCTTTATCCTGATAAAAATACATGAAAGGAAAACTAAGAAAATAATGCTTTTAAAAAGATTTTTCCCTGCTCTGCTCCAAAATGAAATAATAAAAATCAGTTTAAGGGCTGGGGATTTAGTTCAGTGGTCCCGCTGCCTGCCTTGCAAGCACAAGAACCTGAGTTCGATCCCCAGTACCCCCCCAAAAAAAATATCAGTTTAACTTGATGGTAAAACTCCTATTCTTTATATTTTATTACCCAGGTGTAAAACACTTATCATCAGGGTACCTCAAGTGCAGTGATTAATACTTTATATTATTCGAATTAGTATTTTCTCACAATCTGTTTCCTTTCCTCGTTTCCCATCTACTGAATTTCTTTAGTTGCTAAATTCTGAATCTCAAAATTTACAGTGTTGTTTTCCTGCGGTATTTGGTAAATGCCACCCTAGTTTTCTAAAAATAGCTGTGAGGAGCAGCTGAAGGCTTTCAAGTCACAGCTGACTGGCTCTTGGCATCGCCCTGGGTCGGGGGCTCTGATCTCCCCGCAGCCTCTGCCTGAACGGACTAGTTAATAAACCTGGGGCCATTTTCCAGGTACTTCTGGAAATTTCTCAATTAACCTGTCTGAAGGAGCTGTAATTGTTCATCCTGGGAGAATAAACTTCTGCCTGCCTGGGAGAAAGAAAGTCTGTAATGACACCTTCCTTAGACCTTGGTGGGGATCAAGGCCGTTCTCACTGCTGTTGGAAACAATTAAACTGATTGCTAATTGTAAGAGACCACAGCAAGTGATATTCTAGGTAATTTTTAGTCATATGCCACCTGCCACCCAAATGCAGATTTCTGAAAAGGATGGAATAGATTAGTTTGGTTTTTTTTTTTTGCCCATCTTTAGCACAAGATATAGATTTTAAATTCACATATTGGCCCATGATTTCTAGTAATGGGGGGATCTTAAATTCATACATTTTTCCCTTTTCAGCTGGCACCTTTCAAATCAATTTGCACTCACAGAATAATTTTTTTATTGTGAAAATTCACTGAGTCCCAGAAAACAGTTTGCATTCGCTTCTCTGTGGGGCATAATTGTAGCAGGCACTTGGGAGCTGCCTGGGGGAAGTGGAAGAGGGTGTGTTCGGGAGATTACGTGAACACGTGCACGTGAAGTCAGTTACAGGCACTGTCCTGGAAACACGGTACACGTGTGCTGAAAGCTAGTTGACTCTAGGAAAGGAGAAATCCTGCATCAAAAAGAATGTGCGTGTGCCCCAGTCATCTGCTAGATGGTCTTTTCACACTGACACTGCTGAGGGTGCAGGGAGAAGAGTATTTATTGATTCTGATCTCTTCTCGACATCAGCTGCTACGGTGCGATATTGGCATGATGTGCTTAGGTGGAAAAATCTTGGGACCAGCAACTGCCCAAGCCAGTGGATCCACTGCTCCCCTCCCCCCACACCTCCTGTTTTCCCTCCGCATGAGAACTCATTTCTTCCACTGCTGTGATTCTCAAGTATGTGTAATTTTTGATATTTAGTATAGAAGAGTGGGCTATTCATATTTTAACAAGGGAGCACAACATTTTTAGCTAGAGAATGCTTGTCCTCTTCTAGATAACCACATGTCCACAGAATGACCCAAATTACAGTGTTTTAATTTTTCAAATTTTTATTACAGCAAAAGACATGTTGCCCTGAGTCCTCCTCAGTATTTTCCCCCTTGCTTCAAACACACGTACCCAATAGCTCTTGCCGCTTCCCACAGCAGCTCTGGAGTCCTCTCACCTGAGCGTCTTTAGTTGCACCGTCCTGGCTGCCTCAGTGTCCTAAATGGATTCAAAACGCTTCCCTTTCATGGTCATTTTGACCGTGGGGAAGAGGCGGAAGTCAGTCACACAGTGCCAGATCTGGTGAGTAAGGAGAATGAAGACACAGCATTATGTTTCTGTAAGCTGCCTTTCCTTGGGATGGCACTTGGCGGCAACATTCGCCGGGTTTTTGATCACCTCATGAAGACACTCAGGAAAGAGGACTCCAGAACTGCTTCAGAGAGAGGCGAGAGTTCTGGGATAAGTATATTTGAAGCAAGCGGAAGTGTTTTGAGAGGCAGCGTGTCTTTTACTGTAATGAGTTTTTAATTTAAACATTTGCTATACTTTTCTACCACCCTTGGTATATCCCATAATAGACCTGCTGCACTGTCTCCATAACCAAGCAAGTAGAAACAACTTCCTGGAACCCAACTGATACCATGATAAAAGAGGCAAATGATTTGTACCACTTTAGGTGTCTCCAGCCAGACTCAGGCATCTGTACTTTCTTCCAGTAGTTAAAAAGAAATAGAGCCACACCATTAGGATAGGATACATTAGGATGTATCAAAATAATGTATCCCTGATACATTAGGATGTATCAAAATATTTCACTAAGGTCTGGCTGTTGTGGTACAAAAGCATTCAATCATTGCGTTTATAGAAATAGAGGATATTCCAAATGATTTATAGCAATGACTGGGGCTAAATTTCTAATTTCTATTTCTTTTGAATTTTTTTAAGATGAAGTTTTTTTTGTTTTTGTTTTTTCTGGTACCGGGAATTGAACTCAGGATCTTGTGCTTATGAGGTAGGCATGGTGCCAATTGAGCTAAATTCCCGGCCTCTACTTGTTCTTTTTATTCATCTGTAAATATGTATCTATGAATTTTAACTCATTTTACCTTGAATTGGTTTTATTTTGTATAAATAATTTCCCTGTACTCACTAGGTAAGCACATTACTCAGGAAATGAGTAAAATACAATGAATTATTCCTGTGTATCCATGTACATAATGTATAATATACATGCACATGTATGATATAAACCTATCTGAAAATGACTACACCCTAAGAAAAAGCTTCAATAATAAAAAAGTGGGGTTTAATTGCTGGCAAAGAATCCTAGTGTGTAGTTAGACGAATAAAATTTTAGTCCAGCCTTTTGGCTTGCAACTTTTATGTAGAAAGAAAATATAACATGGGCCAAAACAAGACCAAACAACAGAAAGAGAAGGGATGACACAGGAGTTAGCTCCCAGGCAAAGGATGTTACTTCCTGTTCTTACCCTGTTGTAACCTCCTGATAATAAGATACCATGCTCACAGGCAAAGAATGAACATCACACGGGCTTTAGCTGCTGATCTGACACCACTGTAAGGTACAATATTGGTTCATCTGCTTTACCTGAGACCAAAGTAATAGTGGCTCCAACAAAATAGGTGATTTATTTTTCTCTCCCATAAAAGTTAAGAGTTGGGATACCATGCAGAGGGTGACAGAGCCCTATTTCAAAGGTGGCTCAAAAATCCAGGAACTTCCAGTGCCATTGCTCCTGCTTTCCAAGGGTGAAAGCTCTCCAGTGGAGAAAAGAGAAAATGAAAAGCAACCGCCTTCCTTCCAGGGATAGGTTTACCTCTCAGGTGGAGCACATCTCCCAAATCCCCTGACCTTAACTCTGTTACCTGGATACTCTAGCTGCAAGGGATGCTGGGAATAGCATCCTCTGCTGAATAGCCAGATAGCCAGCTAAAATTCAGGTTCTAGGACTAAAAGGCAAAGAAATAGTTCTCAGAAGACATTGGTGATTTCTTTCACTATGTTTTAGATAATCTCAGTTTATTTAGGGGAGTTCATCAGGAAATGGGATTTCCCATTTGTCCTCAAAATTACTCCCTGAACTTACTGACTCCATGATGTTCCCTTTTAAAACTTTCTAATTGCTAATTTCAAAATGGCAGCGTTGCTCTATCCCATGTTAGCTAATAGTTGGAGAAGCAGATGCAGATTTCAATGAGAAATCACACTGTCTGGTTGAGACGTATGACTGCAGCAAGCATGTGCTTCCTCTGGCTGAGGATGATCCCTGCTTCCTACACTTTTGCGAGATGAGCCTCCTTCCATTAAACCAAACGCGTCACTCTTGCCCTCGGTTGGAGTCGTGCTCTTCAGAAAGTGAACAAGGGGTAAATCTGCTCATTTTGCCCACTGGCTTTCCGTGGAGCAGACTGATTCCAACTCAAAACACAGTGTGTGGGGTGCTTATTAAGGGTGACCTTGATCCTCACCCCTGCGGGAGGTGGGAAAGCTGAACCATTCTGTGCGTCCAGCCTCAGCCCGTGCTGGTCCCCGGGGAGGCCTGGGGCAGAATTGCCCCTTCCATACTTTGTGAGCTTGGCTGAGCTGAAAGACTTTACCCTCCTGCATCAGCCAGTACTTGTCTGTGAGCCGCCATGGCCTTGGGCGAGGCAGTGCTCTGCAGCTGAGGCTGACCTCAAGGTTCGGACTCCTGAAGGCTGTGTCCATAATGCCCCTCCGTGCCATGGCCACTTGGCAAATGCTTGTGGGAGAGCCAACAACATGGGAGTGGGACGGGCAAGGACTGAGCACTGTGGCTGGTGACCACACTCTAGTTTCATCGTCACCCACGCCTTGTGAAGCCACCCTTGTTCACCCCACAGTCAGCCACCTACCTGCACCTCCACCCAGCCACATATTTCCGTGTGATTCACAGCGGTCATGGAGCCTCTACTAAATGCAGTGGTGAATTGGAGAAACGGGGTTGGGGGGCACAGCCTTGCCCGGCTCTGCCTTGTGAGAGCCCCGGGGGGAGAGCTGAGCTTCCCTGGC